TGCGGTCATTTATTTACAGAATCAAAGTTTAACATCAAACATTTACAATAATTTGGCAAAATATGAAAATAACACATAATCAATCAGGAAAACCATAGGGCCATGATTTTCCGTTGCTTCACCACAGACATTTATGAAAACTGTACAATTATCCACACGGCGGTGGATGAGCACTTTACACAGACATTTCTAAATTATCTGGAAGGATTTCTACTTTAGAGAAGAATTTAAAGATGAAAAGATGAAGTTTAAAGGGGGTGAAAGATGGTGTTTGAGGGAGAGTGTTGAACAGAACGGCACTCTCCGGGCTTTCTTCAGCTTCTTCCTTACAGTACACTTAGGTGGTGAAATCGACTCTTTTACCTGGAGATGTCTCAGGCGAGATTCCGTTTAACGCACCCTTTCAGCGTCTCCGTAGGATGGCTGTGAATCGTCCGGAGTAATGGCGAGATTCTGTCCGACACAAGCTCACCTCAGTGGAAAATGTTATAATCACATGAAACTCGGAAGAGCTCTGTGGTCATGTCAGTGTCTTCCCGGCTCCCACAGCAACTGCCAGCACTAGGACATATCAGAACTGTCCGCACCGCCGAACTTCTCCAAACCCACAGAACTGGGTAAACCAGGAAGTACCGACATTTTAAAGAGCTCTTTTCCCGGTTCATTCGGGAGTCTCGGATTGGTCCAAAACAACCAGACAGGGGTGTGTTTTGTGATGTAAGAGGGTTACTAAAAGTCAGAAGACAGCAAGAATGTTATTGAACAGATTAAACTGTTCTCACAGACAGAGAGTGTTTTGTTTTGGCGAGTTTTAGAAACAGGTGCAAAAACCCCCCTGTTGACGTCTGAGAGGATGTAAAAACAAGGCAGTTGTTCCAACACATGTCTGCTTCGACTCCTGACCTCGGAAAACGCACACTTGCTCATTCAAAGACAGAAATCAGAAAATGCATAATTACTCTGTAACAGCTTTAACATGAATTCTAACTTTGCATGAGAATTAAAAATCATTACACTGTTTCAGTTAATAAAATCGATTAGTTCACTGCAACATCTAAAATGGTTTGAACTAAGACACTTTGATTAACAACATTTGTAAAATAGTAATGATAATAGAAAAGAGAGTGTTCTTCCACTTGAATTTTCAAGAAAGAAAGTCTCAGGATGGGTGAACCTGTATTTCTGGATTCAAATCAATGAAATGACAGTTTCTGTCCCACAAGGTTCTTAAGGTCAAGGGTTTTGACCTTAGGCTTAGTCTTGACATCAGGTTAAGTTCACTACAACCAGCAACAACTCTTGCATAAGTTCGGTTCCTAACTTCCAGTCCAGTGATCACCAAGTTGTCTATTTTTGTGTATTGTTCCATGTCGTCTACTTTCTGTTCCAGTTCAGCTATTTTTCTGTCTTTATTAGTCATCAGTTCTTTCAATTGTCTCACTTGTTCATACAGTCCTGTCAGTAATTCACATTTAGCTGATAATTTAGTCAGTTCAGCACTCAAAAAGTTCAAATATTTTTTAACTTCCTCCGTATCTTCTGAAATATTTTCCGACATTTGTCTCTTATCTCTGTGTTTGCTCGGCATTACTCACGATACTTCTGGATTATTGGTCTCAACTCTCAGAAGCACAGGATCCAGCCACGAGGTTCACAGGCTTATGTTGTTCGCTTATGTTCTTAGCCGAGGGCTAGCAAGGTCTAGCTGAGGTCTAGCGGCAACAACCTCGAGGTCCCACGCGGTCTCACGGTTCACTCGGTCCAGCAGTTCGCAGCCCCAACGGTGACAGACCAGGTCCCGGTTGTTACAGCTCCCAGATCCCACAGCTGTAGTTTAGCTTCCTCGGTTTTCAGCGGCTCGCAGGTCCAATCGGCGGTGGACCGGGTCTCCATCGTAAACTGCTCGGTTTCAGTGGCTCGCAGGTCCAAACAGCGGCGGACCGGGTCTCCGCCGTAAACGGCTCAGTTCCAGCGACTCGCAGGTCCAATCGACGGCGGACCGGGTCTCCGTCGTAAACTGCTCGGTTTCAGCGGCTCGCAGGTCCAAACAGCGGCGGACCGGGTCTCCACTGTAAACTGCTCGGTTTCAGCGGCTCGCTGGTCGAAACGGGGGCAGACCGGGTCTCCGCAGGCCTCACTAGCCGAAGCAGCTCTCTGACCAGCTCGTTAGCCAAATGTTAGCTAAACTCGTGGCTCAGCTTCCACGGTTCAGAGTGCGCGGACTTCCTTCTTCCACCTGTTCTGTATATATATATCCATATATGTATTATCTATATAGACATATATGTATACATATGCGTATATATGTATACATATACGTATATATGTATACATGTACATGTATATATGTATACATGTACATGTATATATGTATACGTACATGTACATGTATATATGT